TGAAGGTCACAGCATAGACTTCCAAGAGTTTTACTCATCGATTTGTTATTGCAGGGACATTGACTTTAGATTTCCGCTCTCCTAAACATGACGCTTAACAAAACAAACTGTAATCGGTTGCTTAAAATGTAATAGGCAGTCCTTGGCCAATGAAAGCTGCAACTGTACGGAGTCCAGACGATCGGCTAAACGAGACTAAGGATGCTGTACAGACTAATGTGATCTGGCATACTTTACTCGACCTGTCCAGCATGCCTGAATCGATTCTTTAAAATATTGCATCTGCCCTTTATACCATGAGTCTGGATAAATGCCTGATTATGAATGTGCCTTTCTATCATTTGATGAATCGCTGCTGGCATAATGGCTTAAAAAAAAAAATGTACACAAACGTATCTTTTAATTGTGCCAAGCAATTTAAGAGACATTTGTGAATATGGCTCAATCTATAACAAGATTAATTTACATGGAATTCATGTTAGCACTGAAATTGGCTTGATTGTGACTGGTTACAGAATAAGATGAGTTTTGCACTGAAATACTGCACATAAAAGTGACAACGTTTTTTAGTGCATTTGCCCCAAAATGTTTTATTAAACAACCTTGACCTTGAGGGAATGTAAAATGTTAATGAATAGTCATGAATAATTACAGGAAGGTCTATTTATTTATATAGCCCCTTTTTTAATTAATCTTGGGAATTATTGTCCTAATTTATTTATCATTTAATTATACATTGTTGGTGGATTTTATCTCTATTTTTTGCTGAATGAGTAGACTTTGGGCTTATCGACTCGTAATTTGAGATGTGCATTTAACACACCTGTTTGTTTGTTTTTAGTCCACAAAATAAAAGTATCAGTATTAAAATAAAATGATTTAAATAGTATACCATCTCTTCTATTTTTCATGCATTTTGCACTATACCAAACGGACTTGCAGTGCATAATTGAATTTTGTATTGCATTCATTAATGTTCCCTAATGCAAAACTACTGTTCTCGCACTGTTAGCACCAATGATGGGGGTAATGCATTACAAGTGAGTTAAGTAATCAGATTACTTTTTCCAAGTAACTTAAGTTACTTTTACAAATATGTATACTTTTTTTTTACTTTATGTATTTAATCTCACATTATTAACCAATGTCTTTGCTGCTGACCTTCAATGTTCTAACTCAATCATATGAATAAGCAAAACTTACTTTAGATAACCCGCTCCTTCGTGCTCCATTTGACTGCCGCAACACATAATAAAACAAAACATTAAAGTCCCTGTAAAGTCACAATTAAGTATGTGTTCTGAGTCTGTCGTACCACAGAAAAATGTGTTATTAGCCACCCAGCCAAATTTGAATGATAAAAAAATCCAGGAAGTACATAAAATAAGCTATCAAAATCATGAAAAAATGAGCAGATTCTCTGTAATAAGATTACACAGATTCTCTGTGTAAAACGATCACTACAGAGGTACAGAGGCTCTTCATCAAGGTATAAGCTCTCTAAAAACCTCTTCTTGATGTGATCGTTTTTAGGGGAATTTAAATGAAGATACCGATCTATTTTGTACATGATCGCATCCAGGTAGTAGCCCATGCATGTCCGTGTCGAAGGCATAGCTAGCTAGAAAACTGCAGGCTCAGCTGTAGTAACTAATAGTACTGACAGTCACTCGCGATTGAGCAGTGAATGTGCTCAGGGAGTGTGTGTGGAGAGGGGGAGATCAGACTCTGTGCTTCATCAAATAGGGGGGTGTCCAGCAGCTCATGGGTTCCAGTGCGTCACGGAGCCCTGTTTTAGCCCCGCCCAATTAATCTGTAAAATTGCAATGGTGAAAAACTGTTTAACGGTCTAACTCCACATTTCAGTACTTCACAGTTCACAGACTTTGTAATAAGTTTTAGCAATACATATGTAACATTTATAATGTGTTTAGAACTTTTTTGTAGAATTGCCTTTATAGGGACTTTAAATAAAATAGTCCAGGCCTGGCCTCTTTCTGTCATCGCTCCTCCTTTTATGCTTCAGCTCCTCTGTGAGAGATACAAACCGGTGTGTCGTGCAGGTGTCACTCGTCAACAATCACACCATCGGCCTCGTGCCGTTCTCTCAAGGGTTAGTTTGAGCAGCGCCCTCTACTGTGTCGAGCCATGAATTTTCTCAGAGGCTCATTCCTTTAACTTATTTTGTGCAAAGGCATTTGCTATATATATATATATATATATATATATATATGAAGAGTTCAGATGCAAAAGCCTCTAAATGCCTTTTGAAATTTTCTTCTTTAATGATGATTTTTTATCAAACTTGTATATTTAAGTTCAGTAATTTCACTTAAATAACAATTAATAGGTCATTGTCATTGCCATTTAAGTGAAATCATCAAAATTAAATATACAAGCTTGATAAAAATTATCATTCTAGAAGAAAATTTCAAATGGCACTTAGAGGCTTTTGCATCTGAACTCTTCATATATATATATATATATATATATATATATATATATATGTTTGTTTTATATATTTTTATATATGTGCTTGTTTGTTTTGTAACGTAAAAGTCACATGCCACATTATTTCCATAAAAGAGTAATTAAGTAAATCAATTAGTTACTTTTTTAGGGAGTAGCACATTCCTTTTAAAAGTAACTCACACAGGTTAGCACCATGTTACATTTTCTCAGTTGACAGATCTTCTAAACTCAAAGTATTTGTTCATTTATTTTCATGTTTGTCCAACCATAAATATTATTATTTTATAGCATGGCCAATACAACTATTTGGAGAAATTAGTCAGTCTTTGAATGTCTCAAAAGGCGTCAACAAAAAAAGAGAGAATTAGTGAACTGAAAAACATAAAATACTAAAATACATTACAAGTCATTGCTCGGAGATGAAATTCTCTTATTTATTGTACCACCATTAATCCTGGATATAATTACCCAACACTTGACAGGTAATGTACAGTCTCATTTAACTGGACTTATTTGACTTGACTAGGCTGTGAACTTGAATTTTAAGTTGTGGTAACAGAATGTCAAACATATTTATTCAGTTGCGCTTTTTGTTGTACACTCTTGGCTGAATCCATAATTAGAAGTTCCTCTTAGTCCGACCATCTGGCCTCAGCAGTGAGATTAATCTGAGGATCAACATGAAGATTAACAGTTTGCGTTTAACAAATGCTTTGGAACACAACCCCCCCCCCCCCTTCATTTTCCTTTATTGTTTAAAAAAAAGACAACCAAACATGAATTCCACATGTGCAAAAGTAAGAGAACCTTAAAGGAGAACTCCGGCGCAAAATGAACCTTTGGTCTAATTACACATTGTTACCTAGTCAACCGTTATCTGAGATTTTTTTTCATGATTGCCGAATGTAAATAGTTTTATCTATAAAAACAGTTTAGCCTATAACGCTAGTATAACGCTAGTACATAGGGCATAGAGTAATGAAAAATAAAAATCGCTTGTTATTACCACTAAAAAGGCTCAAAATAGCCCCACACTAACACGGTAGCATAATAAGGGTCTCTACATTCAAACCGAAGCATTGAGAACTTTGTCAGTGTCCATACAGTTTAATAAGAAGATATTTTATACCCAGTCAACTTCGCGAATACAGGAAGAAGCCATCTTTGAAAAATAGTCTCTACCAGTTGATCTACGAACGCCGATCCAAGTGCGCTGGTGAGATGTGAATAAGGTGATAAGGTGAGCACGAACAGTAGGCTACATGTACATATTGAAGAGAAGAAAATGGTTCGTGTTTGTGTTTCTTCCGGAAACAACAAACCATATGAGATTCGAAACAGTTCAGCGCACTTGGATCGGCGTTCGTAGATCGACTGGTAGAGACTATTTTTCAAAGATGGCTTCTTCCTGTATTCGCGAAGTTGACTGTGAGTATAACATATCTTCTTATTAAACTGTATGGGCACTGACAAAGTTCTCAATGCTTCAGTTTGAATGTAGAGACCCTTATTATGCTACCGTGTTAGTGTGGGGCTATTTTGAGCCTTGTTAGTGGTAATAACAAGCAATTTTTATTGGTTTTTACTCTATGCCCTATATACTAGCGTTATACTAGCGTTATAGGCTAAACTTTTTTTATAGATACAACTATTTACATTCGGCAATCATGAAAACAAATCTCAGATAACGGTTGACTAGGTAACAATGTGTAATTAGACCAAAGGTTCATTTTGCGCCGGAGTTCTCCTTTAAAGGAGTAGTTCACTTTTTTTTAAAATTGCTGATAATTTACTCACCCCCATGTCATCCAAGATATCCATGTCATTCTTTCTTCAGTCGAATAGAAATTCAGGTTTTTGATGAAAACATTCCATCATTTTTCTCCATATAATGCACTTTACTGGTAACCAAACTCTCTAGGTCCAAAAGAGAGTTTCAGTGCAAACTGTTCAAAGGACTTTAAACGTCTTGGATGACATGGGGGTGAGTAAATTAGCAGCAAAAAACTATAAAGTATATATAAAAAAAATCTTAAGTATAAAGAAGTATATAAAATAATCTTCTTAGTGTCCGAACTATTGTCTATATATGCACACTGTTAAGTGGATTGTTCAAGGATGACTGAAAGAAGTAAATGAAAGTAGTTTGAAGACTTTCAACAATCACATGATTATAATTACAGTTCATATACCGGCATTGTAAAAGGTAAGCCATGGGAATTTGAGCGCTTCTGCTAGACATTTTGAGAACATGGAGTAAGAGACTGATGGAAGGCAATGACGAGACAATCATATATTTACGGAAAGACTAGATGAATAGGCCAGCCCTTTATATAAGCAAGAATGGTGGACTTGAGGGGCGTTGTGGCTGAGAGCATTTGGAGTGCAGTTGTCATCGACTAGTTCTCGTGGCACTGTGCTATTCACTACGGCCTCTCCTGTTCTCACTCATGGAGTGACCCAATTAATTCATTCTCTTTTTTCCTGTGTGTGTGTTTGTGTGTGTTGTCGCTTTACCCCATCAACAGAGAGGCTGGCGAAGAAAACTGGGACGCAGAGAGCTGCCAAACGCTCCCATCGCCGGCAGTCTCCCACACCAAATGTCTGTGCAGCAAGCTGTCCACCTTTGCAGTGTTAGCGCAGAAAGCTAAAGAACCGGTGAGTGCTCTCTTTACCCTTCGACACCACACTTCACAGCTCAGCGACTTTAAGACCGGGCTACCCGAGACCTCTGTGAAATGCGTCTCATGCAGTCAAGTAGCTAGAACATATGATGCCATACATCCAGAATATTTTTTTCGAACACTTTTTGTTTGAGTTGTTTGGTTGCTCTCTAGAAGGTCGGTATTCCATCTGTTCCACTTATGTTAGATGCTACGGATAAAGAAAGATCAGAAACAATCTGTTAAGGGCTAATTACTTTGTTGTAAAGATTTATTTAAGGTAGTATCGTAACATTGTGACCGTTTACGCTGTTGGCGTGACATTTGAGGTGAACTTTCCTACATAGTGTGTGGTTATTGTACAAAAGCAGATGGCGGACCAGGTGTTTCATATTTCAAGGTATGAATAATGCGTTAGGGTTCGTCTGGCTTGGGATTTCTCCCAGGTATAGAATAAAGCATTGATGCTTAGCCGTGTTATTGTTTTTACTGTGATTATGAGTTTTAATCTCACTAAACCAGTGGTTATCAAATAGGCATAATGGGAAGTGTGGAAAATTATGATAAATTTGGCAAATTAAAATTGATAGATAGATAGATAGATAGATAGATAGATAGATAGATAGATAGATAGATAGATAGATAGATAGATAGATAGATAGATAGATAGATAGATAGATAGATAGATAGATAGATAGATAGATAGATATGATATAATATTGTAGTAGTTATAAAAAAGTTTTTTTTAGTTCAGATTAACATTTGAGGGCAGCAATTGTATTCATAATGTCAAAATAAAACCGATGTTATGTTATTTGAAAGCATTATAGCTTATCTTACTATTCCTGTCAAACTTCCATGGTAACAGTTAGTGTTACTACAGTAACTCCATGGTGAATGTTGCTGATCTGTGGACACTGAATAGTTCATTCATGGCACAAAGTTTCTTCCTGGTTTCCACATCAGCGCTGTTTGGTCCGTTAATAACGGAGAAATGTGAATGTTTCCCACTAGATTTTGCAACAATGTTATTATTTCAGTGGAATTCAAATGCTTTCTTTAATGGATTTGGCTGTGTAGTAGCAGTGCTGCTTGATTAACACCGGCTCGCGCTGCATTGGTCCAAACTGATAAACAGTCCGTCAACCTCACAATAACGATTAACTCAGTTTCGTTCCGCTTACATTACATTTGCCATTTGATGTTAATGTTGTGTTCACAGACACAATGTCTCTTACATTATGAGCATGCTTGCCACGCACAACGCGCCTACATGGAGGAAAGGAATAATGGTTCCAACGAACCATTTGGTTCAAAAATGCGTACCGAAAACCAAACCGAATGCCACGTACCGAACGGGTCAATACGAAGTTGTGTATCGTTACACCCCTAATGTGTATATACAGTATATATATATATATATATATATATATATATATATATATATATATATATATGATGCGATCTTGGAAAACCCGTCAGATGTCTCACAAAAGTCTAAAGTAAAGTCTAAAATGTAGCAGTAAAGTCTAAATATAGATTGAATGTCAGTTTTTTTCTCAAAATTGGGTTTTTATTAAATTATTATTTGTATTAAATTATTATTCTATAACATCTTGTTTATCATCTCTGAATATATCTTGGGAAAATTCATTAGTTTAGAGCAGAAAAATAGTGATTTTATAATATCCAGCTGAAAAGACTGTTTCTCTTTAAGAAAGACTTTCTTTCTTCTTAAAGAAAGAAGTCCAATTTCAAGATGGTTTTCTCAGGTTGAATTTTGAGTTTGTAATCTTTTGAATGGTACCTAATCTATGATGATTACTAAAATATGTGATATGGAAAAAAAGGCAGTAAAAAAGGGAGCGCCAATCATCCCGCTCGCAGGACATGACCGTTAATTAAATCTATTTTTCTCAAAATTCCATTTCTGAAAATCATAGCGATCAGCCGACTTCAGATAACCATAACTTTTGTTACAGACAAACAATGAAAGAATTGGAAAGGGTTTGAACCAAGCTTTAATATGGTCTCAAAACCTGTAATATGTCAAATTTCACCATTTTTAAGGACAATCAACTTAAATGCAGTTATTTTAATTGTCATAATATTTCACAAAATACACTGTTTTTACAGTAAAATGTCTTAGATTATTTCCCTGGAAATTAAAATATGAGGAACAAAACTCTTTTTCTTATCATATACACCATGACCCTTTTCACTCATAAATTAAATGATTTTTTTTTGTAAAGCTGCTTAGAAATATATACTGTATATTTTGTGAAAAGTGCTATACAGTTGATAATGCTATTTTCAAAATGGGTTTATTATTTTAGACCAAACAGGCCAGTACTTTTTTGTGGCCAGTAAATTTTCTCATTCACCACCAAAGGCTAAAAATTACAATCAAAAACTAACCTAAAATAACTATTGGGTTGACGTGCATAACCGTGAATAGTGGTAAAAAAGCTTAAGCTCTCCAGCTTTTGTTTGTTATGTTCATCATATTTATTATGGATTGATTATCTTGTACAAGCTAATGTTTTGAGTCCATGTTGAGTAGATATGTGTCAACTCTGAAAGGATAGACACTGAGCATTAAATCTGTGATGTCGCTTTTAGATATCCAGGTTAATGACTTGTGCTGCCGCTTGTTATATTGACCCTGTGCCCTCTGTTCACTTAATGGACGTGAAAGGCCACTAGAAGCCTACCAGCTGCGCAGACCCATTGTTTGAGGACTCGTTTCCTGTGAATCTCTCTTTCTATGTATATTTCTATCAACATATGAAGAGTTCAGATGCAAAAGCCTCTAAGTGCCATTTGAAATTTTCTTCTAAAATGATCATTTTTATCAAGCTTGTATATTTAAGTTCAGTAATTTCACTTAAATGGCAATGAAGATTACCTATTAATTGTCATTTAAGTGAAATTACTGAACTTAAATATACAAGCTTGATAAAAAATGGTCATTTTAGAAGAAAATTTCAAATGGCATTTAGAGGCTTTTGCATCTGAACTCTTCATATGCTCTCTTGATCATTTCCCTTTTCATTCCTCCCCTCCCCTCAGCAGGGTCACCAGTGAAAAAATACTGACCCACTTTAGCTTAGCTGAGTGTTTTTTTTTTTTTGTTTGTTTTTTTTTTGTTGTTTTTTATCGGAAAGCACGCCCCATTAAAGTGATTGATATGCATGGCAGGTGAAGAGGATGCTGGGAGATGGGAAATAGCCCTGAGGAATTAGCGATGTGGGGCAGATAGAGTAGAGCCATAGGCCAGTTACAGCCACACAGGAGCTGGAACACACGCTGCTGGCTGCCACAAACCACTGACACCAGCTAAAGAGAGCGTGCCAGGCACACACATACACATGAAGAGAGCAGCACTGCCCATCAGGCACAGTTCTGCACTGTCAGGGGGCATTGAGCATTGGGTACAGGGAGGCAAGGTGGAAGCAATGCCAGTTCTAAAAACTGCAGAGCTGAAAGGAATACTAAAATAAATAGAGGGAAAAGTACACGAGAGAACATTTTAAAGTCAGAAATCATGATAACTTTAATTGCACACGTAATGGAAGTCTTTATTGCAACTGTCTATTACAGTGTGTCTGCTCTGTTTAATTGTCTGCAATCTTTTTCATATGAAGAGCCTTTTATCATTCAGGTGAAACTTGAAAAAATAAATGTGAATATTTTGCCGTTAGAATTTGTGCCACACCACAGTAATTCAATACTGAGAACATATGCATGATTATACTTTTCAGAGGGCCGACATTTCTGTATTTATTTTTTTTTATTCATTTCTATATTCAATTATTGCAAATAAATGCTTGAAATATCTCACTTTGCATGTAATGAGTCTAGTAATATATTAGTTTTACCTTTTTAAGTTGAATTTCTGAAATAAATGAATTTTTGCACTATTTTTAAAATATTTTTAAACTTTTGAGTTTCAAAAGTTTACACTTTATTTTAACACTTTATTTTACAGTGTCCCTGTTGCAGATCTTACATGTACTTCTCATATAATAACTGTGAAGTATGCATAATTACAAGAAACTAACCCTGAACCAAACCCTTAGCCTTATTACTGTATAGAATGTTGTTAATTAATATTACTCGGAACTTATTTGTACAGTATAATTACCTTAACATAAATTGTAACCAGAAAGTCATACAGATTTGGAATGACATAAGGGTGAGTAAAATTTTAATTTTTATGGGTGAGCTATCCATTTAGGTTTACACCATCGAATGTTGTGGATTATCTATATTTATTTGATGATTACTTAACATTCTAGTTCACCCAGTTCTTTATTAATTTTGGTTACACTTTATTTTAAGGTGTCTTTGTAATTATACATTTAAGTATCTAGTAATATTAAGCAACTTAATGTAAAGAGTTAGGATTAGGTTTTGGTTTGATTTGGTTTAGGGTTAGTTGCATGTAATTATGCATAATTTATAGTTATTACTATAGTAACTACATGTAACAAAGAAAGTGTTACCTTAATATTTTATGTTATTTGCATATTGTATGTTGGTTACAGTAGCACACATTTCTAAAATGCACGTCATACATTATACAACTTAGAGAGAACAGAAGAGTGACAGACAGGAATGGAACAATAATTGATTGCTCATATCTGTGTCAGCCAGACATAAAGCTGTTGGTCAATGTTTCCTAATCGACATTTATCCATTTTTTGTCCCTCATCATAATGTCCTTGCCTGGCTGTTGGCTTTTTTTGCGGGAAAGACTGGTGACATTTGGAAGTGCAGAGTAAACAACACTATTATCAAACAGTCTGCACCTGTTAGCCTGGATCTACATGGGTCATCACATCTCCATCCGCATCTTTAATGTGCTCCAGCAGCTTAAACAGCAGACAAAATAGCTGTGTTCCAAAATAATATGTGCTGCCTATCTAGGGAGTATTTGTGTCCTGCACTTTCGCGATTAAAAAAAGTGTAATTATCAAAAATTTCGAGACTTTTTGGCCAAAATGTCTATTTGGCATCTCAGTTGTCCTCCATCAACCTCAGAATGCATTTTAAGGAGCTTAGTGATACTTTGAGGGAAATATTTGTATACAGTTCTAATTTAGGTCTAATTTATAGGTCTAATTGAGTGCCGAAGTGATGACGTCACTTTGTAGGACAACTCTGAAGCTAGCGGCGCATGGGTTCCCTTGATCGAAAAGCTATACATTTTCCCCATAGACTTTTGGAAAATCACAAAAGAGTTGTGACCCTTACATGTTTTGTCTAAGATAATCTTTACAAGTTAACCCAAAATGTATACATTTTGAAGCCTATAAAGTTTTTAAAAAACACAAGAAGACACAATAACGTTTAAAAAAAAACACAAGCAGGTTATAACTGTGTGTTCTATGTCATAGATCAAAACGTGAAAATATTTAGAGGCTTTGTTAACCACAGACCTTATTTCAGGCGATTTAGCAAAAATCCATTCAAAAATCCTATAGATTTTAGAGCAAGGGAACTGGGAGTGCTAAAATGCTAACTCTCTTCTGCTTTTTGGCCTACAGAGTGACGTCGTAACTAGGGTTGGGTATCGAGAATCGAGACTAACTTTTCGTTTTTCCTGGAATCGTTCAAAAGTAAAAATTTCGATTCCTAGTTTCGATATTCACAGTCCGCCGAGCGGAAGAAGAAACCGCTGAACAACACCTACGAAGAAGCGTCTACCGGAAGTGTTGGCATAACCGCGCGAGTCGAACATGAGTAGCTTACGTCGGCGGTCCAAAGTGTGGCTTCACTTTTCTAAAAATAACGAAATCTCGGCAAAATGCAAAATTTGTGACAAAAGGAGTATTTGTGACAGAAGGAGTATTTCCTTCAGAAAGGATTATTTCCTTCAGAAAGACCGTTGGTTAGCAAGGTTGGCTAAACTTTTTTGACCCCGCCTCTTAAAAGAATCAGAATCGAGAATCGTTAGGAACCGGAATCGAAACAAGAAATCGGAATCGGAATCGTTCAAATTCAAACGATACCCAACCCTAGTCGTAACTTCGCCACTCTATTATGGCAATATGCATGCTAACCTGTACGCTCATTATAGCTACATGCATGCTAACCTCAAATTCTATTGTTAATTAAGTATGCTTAATGTGTGCTGTTTGAGTGACCATACTTTCAGAAAATGTCAAGTCAGGGAAAATATGGTGTTAGAATGCTGCCTCACAAGTGGACTTTATATCTCACATTTGCAAGTTTATATCTCAAAATTCGGAGAAAAGAACTCAGAAATGTGAGGCTTCCTTAGTAAACCCCTGATGGAAACGTCCTGACTGGGGCCTCGTGGAGTACAGCAGCTGCTTTTCCAGATATCTAACGGTCTAAACATGTTCATCTTGTGTTGATCAGAGCTCTCTGCCCTCCCAAGACTCTGCAAGCTTCTCAGTATTACAGATCAAGACTGCTCTTGGGCTTTGTAGTGAGAACTAGAGGAGAGTCAGCCGTGATGGAAGCTGCATTTCAATTATAATGCCTTAGGAAATTGTTAAAGGGATGTTTTGGGGTTTTGTTGAGAGACTGTTGTGTGAGTGACTTGTTAATCAGTGTTTGGGTGTCCAGATAAGAGCAATGGCATGCGATGTGTGACGACATGTTCCACTTGTGTGCATATCGCTTGGTATACTGGTTTGAATGGCTCAAACATCACAGAATCTGAAGGAGGAACCAAGAGTGAAAACCCAACCTAAGCGTCATCCTTTTTTTTTTTTTTTTTTGTAAGGAACACAATCACATGAATGCCACAAAATGACATTTTATTGCTTAGCCTATTATTGTATTGCAGACCTAAGTTTTTTTTAGCTGTACAGAGTTCCCTTTCTTTAGTTTCCTGTCGAAAATAAAATTATGTGAGTTAGTAAAGAATAATGCAGAATATAATTTCTGAAAGATATTACTATATTATTATTTTTTTATTATTGAACTATCAATAACAATGAGAGAGAGGGTGGTACAGTATTTATTAATCTGTTTTTAAGTTAATATTAGTTAATAAACATACAAATGTTCATTTTTCACTCATGTCCAATACACAATATAATAAGATCTATTTTTATATATAATTTATTAGTAAATGTTGAAATTAACATGAACTATTAACTTGTTTTTACATGTATTTTGAATTGATAATTCATGTTAGCTAATGTTATGAGATAATATCCATACTATTAATAAGAAATATGAACTTATTAAGAAACTTATTATTAACAATTATGTTTTGTGTATGTAAACTGTCAAGAATGAATACAACACCAAAACATCCCCACCAATAACAACCCATCCATATCAATCTCTTCAATACAGTCACTAATCAATTTAATATGTCCTATCTCTACATTTTTATCATGTGTCTAAACTGTCAAGAATAAAAACATGAGAACATTCCCAGCAGTAACGACCCATCCAAAACAAAATGAGTGGTGTCAAGATACACTATTGGTTTTGTGATATTATAGTGGGTGCCGAAAGACTAAATTAAGGTATCGTGGGAACTCTAGTCCACGCCGACAGGACTATACAGAGGAAGAGGGGAAGATAAAATGGTTAACAGCAAATAAGGGAGAGATACATGGATGGATTAACCTTCACATTTAATCGAGAGGAGAGGGAGGATGGAAAGTGGCATAAGCTTCTGTCATTACTGGCCATCTTTAGTATAGCTGCTATCACCCACTGATCCTGTTTATCCCCTGCTGTCTTTTCCAGTGACCGAAACGCTGCGATTTACCAAGGTTAGAGGTCCATTTTATTTAAAACAGAGCTTTTATTTACTCCAATGCCTCTTTTTCTTATTTTCAGTGACTGCAAGCTTAAAGGATACTTCAGGATTTAGCATTAAGCTTTGTATTA